GGGCCACAGCATGCAGAAAGGGCTACAGCATGCAGAGAGGGCCACAGCGTGCAGAAAGGACCACAGCATGCAGAAAGGACCACAGCATGCAGAAAGGACCACAGCATGCAGAAAAGGCCACAGCATGCAGAAAAGGCCACAGCATGCCGAAAGGGTTGCAGCATGCTGGCAGGGTAGCATTGGAGTTGAGAGGTTGATCTGGTCTATTCCTGAGAGTGAGGATGTTTTCCTCAACTCGGTGTCCCGAGCACCTGCGCAGTACTTTAAACCTAGCACTTTGCTCTGAGAAATCTAAACGTTTAGCTGATTAGCCAGTCCTCATATGATAATAAGGGGAGAAGAGACACAGTTTGCAGTTATCAGAACCCCTGCTGGAACCGGCCTAAGCCACAAAGGCGGACTTGATTGTGGGTTGGTCCTGTTGCAGGACCGGAACAGAGCAGCTCCCCTTCCGCCTCTCACCTCAGTTGCTTTGGGTCTTCACTTTTGTTCTGGACATTCTGTGAGCTTCCTAGTCTTGGCTGTGAGACAGGTTGAAGACAAAGTGTGACCTTCACCCATCACAGGCTCCCGGGCCTTGGCCGTCCTCTTCCCTTAACATCTCCATGCCACTTTTATGCCGTGTGGCCTCCCGGTGCTTCTGTGCCCTCTCTAGTAAAACGGAGTCAACAATGCCCACATCATAGGCTAGCCATGAGCATTAAAGGAACCAACATATGCAAAATGCTTGGTGCAGTGCCTGGAACACAGTTAAATACCAGTTTCTACTTTTTACCTCTGTTACTCATTTCCAGCTCCGCACATGCTCTCCAATCCTCATTAATCGTGGGATAAACTCATAACTCTTTTCATGGACCCGGCACTCTGGCCTCCAGCACCCTCATGTCTCATTCATGTATCTGACATATGAGTCTCCCACTCCTCTCTGGTCTATTCCCCTCCCTTATAAACCCATCCTCTCTCTGCTCCTCTAACTCCCTTATTTTTGTGACCCTAAGAATGTCCCACTCGTTCTGTGAAGCTTGAACTGGCCCTGTGAAGCCCACCAGAATGAGACTTAGTGCTCTTTACCGTTTCCCGAATGTTGGCCCGTGGGGTGGGAGGGGCAGGCCCATTTTGGGCCAGGCTGATGCTCTTATGGCTTAGTTTTTATTGAGTGGATTTGTTGTCTGTTTTAGTACTTAGCGAGAACCTTCCTGTGTCTGACTTTATTAAGATGAAAGGCTCCCTTTATTATGGCTTTCTTGGAAGAAAAAAAATCAAAGAAAAAAGCCTCCAAACAGCCACAGTTTTATAGAGAAAGCATTATTTCTGAGCTAACTGATTTTTTTTTATTCATGAAAAAAAATTTAGAAATTGTAGCTCCTGGTGAAGCCATGCAGACCCACAGCCGCTCAACTCTGCTTTGAACCTGTTTTTGTCAACTCCTTCAACTCTAGTTTCTAGGGCAGGGTTGGCATGGCATTAACAGGTGCCCTTTGGGCATCTCTCCAAAAATATATCTTCCTTTAGAGTTGGTTAATTATTTGCCCAGAACATCTACATAACCCATCTTCTGGGTGTTCACTGGCAAAGAAGCCAAAACAGCCTCATGGACCACTTGGAAGGGAGGACAGGGAAATCCGACTGCTCTGTGTTCGACACACCAGCCTGCAGCTTTAACTGCCTCCCTTCTGCATTGATGGGTGGCAGACTGATGCAGGGACTGCAGGTGTGCGTGCTGGCAGGCGTGTACAAGATCGTGTCTGTGTTTCTGTGTGAGTACAGGTGCTCACAGGACTCCCAGAATGTATCTCCTGTGGGGAAGAGGGACTGGTCCTGACAATTGCTTTCCCAGGAATCTGTGTGTTTGACAGAGCTGGGATTTTTCAGGGTTTGTGGGGTTCTTATCACTTTGAGGTCACAGCACCTTCTTGCTTGTGCATGTGGCCCTGCTGGGCCACCGGGCTCTCTCTTCTCTTCTCTTAGCTTAAACTTAGGCCATTCCCATATTGTCAGTTAGGCTCATGCTGAGTGGAGTCTGAGAGGAGTAGCTAGCTCTGCAGATGATGGTGGTAGTCTAAATGATAGCAACATTTCCCTATAATCCTACTGGGGTTTTCAGAACCTGATCAGGGCCTGGACCTCTGCATAAAGACTCTGTGACTGTGAAACTCATTTGGATTTGAAACTTAGGCCAAGTCAGGTCAGAGCACAGCTTTTCAGTTCAGCTATTGTCTTGTGGTTTAGAAGCAGCCTGAAGATAAGAAGTAGCTTTGCAGGGTTTCTGGTCCACCCTGCAGAGCCTAGCTATGTCCAGAACACTCGCGTGTCACTGGTATTCTAGAACACAGCCGTATCCCCCAAGTTAGTGTTCACAGCCCCCAGGTCCAGCTCTAGACTTGCCTAATGGCAGTTTTTAAGCTGTTGATTCTTGACTCTGAAGCGACCTTTGTGTACCATCTGGCGACAATGGGGCTGCCCCCAGACAGGTGGTGTTTTTCCTTTGCCAGACGACATTTCCAGGGTCTTCTATAGGGGACAAAAATGCCTATAAGAGAGAGAAAGAAGTTCTTTCTGCTTGCTCACTTTTTTTTTTTTTTTTTTTTTTTTTGCATGATATCAGTGCAGGAGGCAATGGTGGGTAAAGATGTGGCTTCTGATGCCAACTTTCTATTTGTCCCTCTGTTCCTGGCGTCAAGCCCTGTGGAAGCTCCTAAGACATACCTGTAACCAACTGTACATACCCCGTCCTCAGAAAGCTGAGTCAGAGTTCGGAGACCCTGATAATCTCTCCATTCATCTCCAGACCCTCAGAGTTGTCAGTGAGGACTGCCACTGTTTTCCCAATGTCCCCTTCTGGACTCTGTCCTCCAGTGCCTGTTTAACCAATTCCCCCCATTCAGTTCTCTGTTAAAATAATGGGGGTGGTGGTAGGGGGGAGTGGATGCTGCTGTCATGACTCAGTTGACCGATGCATACCCAGCGATGTCTGTTGTGTTCTCCTTGGCTGTCCCTCAAGCATTTATGTCATACTTTAATTGCCTAAAGCACAACTTTCTGGTATTTTCCTTTTCCAGCTGGATGTGCCAATCCACTAGTGCTTACGTCACCCCTGCCCACTTGTGCACCCCACTGGTCAGGAGGACTGCTGTTCCACCTGGAATCTCTCCCCAGACCAGGCAACTGCAGACAACCCTCCTGTCGTCCCTCAGCCCCCTCAGTCCATTTCACTAGCAGGTCGTGAACGGGGCAGAATGGCGCCTTGTTTTACACCTGTTCTTGTGGCTTCAGAGGCGCTCACACCCTGGATGCTCTTAGGTCCCTGCAGAGGCTCCTTTCCTGGCCCACTCTTCCCTTGCTTTCTGGACCCCAGCCTCCCCGCTTTGCCCATTTTCCCAGCACACTTGCTGCTTCAAGGCCAACTTGATGCCTACTGCCTTTTTGTGCGGAACACTCTTCTCCTCTGCTCACACCCGGCTGGCCCCTTCTTACTCTTGGGGAAGTAGCTTCAGGTTTTTAAGGAAAGACCCTGTCCAGAGTTCACACTTTCCAGGCCCTGCCTCTTTCTTTTCTAGGGCTTCCAGTCGTTTCTAATCAGCTGTGTGCCTACACCTTTCCTCACTTGATTAGTCCCACCCGTTAAATCAGAAGATTGGCAGGGTGGGCACTGGGTCTGTTTAATTTGGCGCCACGTTCCCATAGTCACCCCCACACACACCATTACAGATGTGCTAAGGAAGAGGGTGAGTTTGAATGGGTCTTTAAGGAAAAGAAGAAGCAAGAAAACTTAACTAGCAACTGCTCTGCCACACAGAGATGTTTTCAGGTGTTCTCTGCTACCCATCCCTTCCCGAGCCACAGCACTTCCTGTAAAGAAAGGGGTTCCTGTAAAGATGGTGCAATGTGTAACCATGTGGAGAAAATGGCTTGACATGGCAGTGTGTGTGTGTGTGTGTGTGTGTGTGTGTGTGTGTGTGTGTGTGTAAATGTGTGTTGAAGTATGTCTTGATTATATTTAGGACACTTGCACAGTACTAAAACACATACACTGTTTGTCCCTCAAGCATGGTCCTCAGAGGGGGATTTCCATGTGGATTATAGCTTCAAGGACCAAAGGAGGGATGGACAGGAGTGTCTGCGTTGTTTAGAAACTCAGCTTGCCTTTGGAAGACTCAGCTCCTGCTTTGGCGGCTTCTCAGAGACCTCAGTTTCTTTAGCACGCACAGGCAAGTCCAAGTCCACGTGGTCTTTGGAGAGGTAGCATCTGGATGTATGGATTCTTTAATTCCAGCCTAGTCCTTGTTGGTGCCGTGAGTAGGTGCGATCATTATAATGTGATATTCACACAGTTGATTTTTTAAAGTTTAATTTCACTTTAGTTTGTCAGTGGTAGAATCCCTGCTGGCATGTCATTTAATTTGCTTCCTGTGCTAATGATGATTCTGAAGCTTTTCAAAGAAATGATGATATGATAATACCAAATTTGACGGTGGATTCGAGCCATCATCTATAGGGATGGGATCACAACAAAGCTCCCTGGGGCATCCATTCTTGTAATGTGTACCAGGAATCCTACTGCTTCTGCTTTGCTCTGGGATACAGAGGAGCGAGAAGAGGAAGGCCTAGCCCTTTTTTCTGGGCCAGAGGCAGACTGCAGATGCTGGGCAAAAGCTGTGGGAAGACACAGGCTTAATAATTAGGAAGAGCACGCTCACAGTGTTGGCTGCTCCATATTGAGATAGATTACATGTTGAGGAAAAGCATTTCTCATCAATCACTGACTGGCTCAGACACACATAGACAGTTTAGGCCATCACTAGAATGAACACCCAGGGGTCCCCACTTCTAGACAGAACACTCCTTACCACCCAGGTACATGCCACTGTGGAATTCTGAGCCCAGGGTTGGACCTGAGCTGATAGAGACCTGAAGACTTGCTGCTTTTTCTCTTAGTTTCATCATAATGAACCAATCACAGGAGGTTATGATGTCAGACATCTCCTTTTATTGGCTTTTAGGAGACTCCTTTTGGAAAACCCAGAGGTACTGGAAACATTCATCTACAACCTCTTTGAAGAATGTGGTGAGAAAAATACATACATATAATAAAGATATGTCTATGAGCAGTGCAGTTCCGAGGGGTGTTCAAAGGCTCAGAAGCGCTTCTGGAGGGCAGACTGGATATTCTTCAGCAGGCCCCACTTAGCTCGGTTCTTCCCACGCCCATCTGGTGTTACCACCTGCAATGGGAAGCAAAGAGTGCATGGGACCAGCCACAGAGGGACGGCAGCTCCTAGAGCGTCGGCCCACTCCATACATCATCTCATTAACAACCACAGAAAGCTTGCATGGTCAGTCCCCCTTCGAGATGAAGAGATCCAGCCTCAGGGTACCACAGAGCTTTCACGGTGCCCATAGCCGTCGTGTGTTGGCATCACTATTCTACAGATCAAGTTTTACTTCTTTCCAGGCAGCTCATATAATCACATGTGGATGAGCAGGATAAACTAGACACCAAATGGACTTCCCCAAAGAACCCCACCCCAGCCTCTGGAGCTTTCTGTTCCTTTCCCATCTCTCACCAGGTGTAAGTTCCAGCTAAGGAGCTTTTTTTTTTTTTTTTTTTTTTCCCCACTAAACTTGGAGTGACCTGCTTTGGGTGTTGGGGAAATGACAGTTTTTTTTTTGTTTGTTTGTTTTAAATCTCTGTGGTCTCGACATTGCCTAAGGTAAAGAGAAGAGTCTTAGAAATGTGCATGAAAGATGAAAGGACCATAATTTGTAAGTCGTCCAATTTTTTTCCCTTTTAAACAGACAAGAATGCTTCATACTGACTTTGGAAAGTGAATGGTCAATCAGTGCTCCCTGGGAAAAGGCAAACTGCACCAGGTAACAGGGCCAAACAGGACCTTCTTAGAAACCTCATCGCTTACTTTGAAAGTGGTGGGCCTCTCCATTCCTCAGACCTGGTAACGTTACCACCCCCCTAATATACATTTACTGAAGTCATATTTAGGGACTAAAGTTGGGATGAACGATCCCAGTGCCCATACAAATGAGGATATTGACGAATGAATAGATGGGGTGGGGTTGGATTTGGTTGATAAAAAGGAATGCTTATCCAATGCACAGAGTCTCTATGATAACATTTTTAATGTTTTATATTTGTATTGGGCAAAAATAGAGGTGATACATGAATATAATCCTGATAAAGATGAAATGAAAAATACAAGATGCACAGAGAGCTACTGGGGATAGTGGAAGAAGTCTAACGGTACTGTGAGTTATGGGGGTTGGAACTTCATTAAAAAGTAGAACATTTTAAAGTTTTGCCTTAAACTATAGTAGGGATCTTCAAAGACAAAGACTGGGTGTTGTAATAGACAGAAGGAGTGTTTACAAACAAGAGAATCAGATGGAACAGAGGCCAGAAGAAGCAGAAGGACAGAACTTGAAGTGCTACAGAAATTGAAATTACAGTTGATATCTCCTTGTCCCAAGAGCCCGACTCAGTACCTCTCCAAGAGAATCATGCTGAAGCTGTGTGATGGGGCTGTTCGGGAAAAGGAGAGGAGAGCAAAGACTCACCAGCTCATGGGAGCTAGACTTGAAAAACTGATTCTAGAATGATATAGAAGCAATGTGGGCAAACAGTGATACACCTAGTTCACTTAGGACTGTAGATGCAATCATATAAAATCAAACATAAGGTAATTGAAATAGCTGTTAGAATAGCATATTAAAACGATATATGAGCCGGGTGGTGGTGGCGGCGGTGGCGGTGGCAGCGGCGGCGCACGCCTTCAATCCCAGCACTCGGGAGGCAGAGGCAGGCAGATCTCTGTGATATAGTGATAACCAAGGGCTTATTTCATGAAGGTAAGTAGAATCCAGCATCAGAAAAGGCAACCATGGTTCTGGGAGTGATGCTTAGGATAGAGCTTGGGTTTAGCATGGGCCAGGTCCTGGCTTTAATTCCTGGCACCATTATCAAATCAAAACAAAACAAAACAAAAAACGATCATAATTTACTTCATTACTAATGACCTAAAGGAGAAAAATCCTATAATTATGTCAAATAATGCAAATAAGTTATTCTCTATGCATAAGCTCTCAGAAACCTGGAAGTTGGAGGACATTTCTTTAACTTAAAGGCTATAAACCTAAACACTGAATAAAAACCAATAAGTCAATGGAGAAAGTTTACTATCAGCAAATGACAAGTGTATCTACTACCCCTGCTGCCATTTTATGTATGACTCAAGGCTCTCGCTAAAGCGATTAGGAAAGAAAAAGAAATATAAACTCAAAGACTGTGAGGGAAGAGATAAAATCACCATTACTTATAAATGATAAGATTATATGCCTGGAAAAACAAGGCGAATCGAATAATAGAGTCTGTAAAGATTTGCCAGAATTCAGATTTATCTCCAGAGAGCAGTAATTTTTCTTCTGAACCAGCCATCTATTAGGAATATACTAAAATGTAGAACAAGCATGTATAATATCAAAGTTTGTACACTATTTACTTTTTTGTTTTTTCTAAATATATTTAAGGGGTACAAGATATGTTGATATACATATGCATGGTGAAACTCTACAAGAAGCAAATCAGTAAATCTGTCATTCTGCATAATCACTGGCTTACTATGTGATTATGCATTTAAAATAGTAGCAAATTTATCACATATGACATAGTATTGAGCACAATACTCATGTTGCTCATTAGCTCACTGAACTATGTAGTTTACCCAGGAACATAGGGTTGAAGACCCCAGAAAACCTCACATAAAGCAGTTTGAATCAATGTTCAGATATACTGCAAACATGCCCGCTGCCTTCCAGTTAATTGCTCAGTGGCTTTCTAATTCTAAGTCAATTTCTAATTCAAATTCTGTCTGGATTTAAAAAATAATTAAAAAAATAAGCATAGTGAGTTCCTTCAAAGTTTATATAAATAAATCAGCCTCCAAGGTTAACTAATTTAGGTTTTAAAAAAGAAACAAGGGTAATGGAGATTCCTGGCCCTTCCTCACAACAGCACAAAGCTGACGTTAACAGCCAGTTAGAGCAGAGAGGTACCGACCCAAGAGTGGACACTCTCCTGTGTCATACCCAGTCTTCATCTTGGAACGTCTTCACCCAGTTTGAGACAAAACCCTCAAGGCTTCTATTTTTTCAGTTCTTAGCCTTATAACTCACAGGATTCTTAGCTCTTTTTACTGCCCAGTGGCTCCGTGCGCAGCTCTCAGTTTTCATTTCCTCTTTATCCAGGGTATATGTATATATTGTCTCCATTTTTGCCAAGCAATGGGTGGTATATCACCATATATACACTATTACCCTTACCTTACATACAGCCCTGTTTCTGCTGGGTTTTTTTTGGGATGGGGGTCAAAGTAGAAAGCATAATGCTGAAACATACTAGGGGATCCAGAAATGAACCCTTAAATATATGGGGAGTGAATATAAGATCATAGAGCACCTTGACCGTACACTATGGAGTCAAGGCAAACCTAGGAGGTAACATTGGCAAATGGGCTCAGTTATGGAGGGCAGATACTTCTGTTCCTGGCATTACATTCAAAGATAGACTCTGTATGTGCAAAACTTGAAAGGTGAAACTACAAATTTAGTAGAAGAATATGTAGTAAAGAAATTTAGTAAAAGAAGATTATCTTTGTGATCTAAGTCAAGGCAAGGACTTTTTAAACAGCACCCTAAAAGGTCAAACCAAAGGGGAAAATAGTTATGACTTTGATTATATCAAAGTTCAAGACCTCTGCTGTTTCAGAGTAGAGTGTGAACAAAGGTGATAGACAAATATCAGAGGAGTAAAAATATTAGCAATGTCTAAAACCATCATCTGGACTATTTGGCATCCATGAGTCACCCAATGGAGGGGTGTGTGCAGTAGATAAGTAGGCAGAAGATGTGTTTACAGGAGGAATACTGGAAGGGAATGAGCGTTTGAAATGAAACGTAGAAAATGAAGGGAGATGACACAGATATCAGGGAGAAAGATGGAAGAGATCTTGGTCAAGGCAGGTGAAACTCGGGGTATAAGGTCCCTCTTTTTCCTATGGAAATAGTCATGGGCATGGCCAAACGAAGTACACCCCTTAATCAGTGACCCAGAAATTTCAGTCATGGTGCATTTCTTATATGAGATGAATTGTGTCCCTCTGAAATTCATATATTGTTGTCCTAATCTTCGGCACCTCAAACACCATTCTGTTGGGACAAGGCCATTAAAGAGGCGATTTAATGTGAGGCCATTAGGGTAGCTGTCATCCAACCTGGCTGCCATTCTTACAGGAGGAAATTTGAATGTAGACCTTAGGGTGCATGGGGGAAGATCACTCAGGAGAACAGTGAGAAAGACTTCCAGCCAGAATCATGCTGTTTAAGGATCCCTGATCTATAGCAACTTGTTACCGCAGCTCTACCTGACTCATACAAAAAATGGAGATTTTTACACCTCCATCCCATCCACAAGCTGTCACATGTTGTCTAATGTAGCATTATTGGTGGTAACCTGGGTGTCCACACTGAGTAGACTAGTGACATGCAAGAAATAAATGCACACAAGGAAGGACGGCATAGCATCAGGAATTCAGGGACAAAATACCCATAATAATGTAGATCAGCAGTTCTCAACCTGTAGGGACTCCTAGGGGGGTTGGGTGACCCATTCACGGGGAGAGAGTCACCCAAGACCATTGGAAAACAGAGATATTTACCTTGCAGTTTGTAACGGTAGCAAAATTATACTTATGAAGTAGCAGCAAAAGTAATTTTATGGTTGGAGGTCACCCCAAAATAAGGAACTGTATTGAAGGGTCTCAGCATTAGAAGGATTGAGAACCACTGGGGTAGATGGATCATTCAAACACAGCACAATGTTTAGAAAGAAAAAAGTAAGAGGAAAAAAAAAGATCAACACAATGCTGTTGGTGTGGATTAGTGACATACAGCAAAGAGCAATACGTATCTTGGCAAGACATAGAAAAGCAAAGAGATCCAAGTAAAGCCTTCTTAGGACAGATGTCACAAACTGGAACATAAAAACAAGGGAATGTCCTTCAAAGATCAGTGCAGATGGACAGAGGTACAATACCAAGCAAACCTTGTGTACACGAAGTCGAAAAACAAAGCAGGTCCAGCCCGAGCCTGAGTTATACTTGTTCTCAGGGTATAACCTTTTCTGGATGCAGGGCAGAGAGGGAAGCACCAGGAGAATTTTACAGGAAAGTTTCAGAGTTCTTTGGAGAACAATAAGCCTTCAGGACACAGAGAATGTGAAATGCGAACCTTTCACTTCAGGGCCTGGAGCCACTGTGCATGAGGAGGTGTCTAGGGAGGAGTTATCAATCCTGCGGGTGAGATGGTGGCAGTCACACAAGGCTGTCCTTCAATCTCAACCTTAAAGAAGATGTATGGCAGCCTGGGGAGAGGAAAAGTCAGGACTTCGTGGCAGACAGGCCACCCTGTATGTGTCTGAGTCCCCGCTGCATCACAGGCTGAAGAGGGGGCCCTGCAGAGACCCAGGGTGACCAAAAAAATGGTTTCTTGAGCACATAGATATTGAGGGACTGACAGACTGACAAGGACTTTGAGAATGCCTGGGATCAGAGATGTCTGCATTCTCTAAAGGGCTATAAAGACCCAGGAAAGCATCAGTTACTGAGCATTGCCAGGCTCGAGGCTTTACCTCTAAATCTGATGTAATTTAGTAATCCAATTTATAGATTAGAGTGGCAGGTCATTGGACCCTCACATGTATCTTTGTCTGAACCCTCAAACCTCTGTGTTCCACAGCAAAGGGGAACTTAGGACAGTTAAGTTAGCTGTTTGGGGATGGGAGATTTTCCCATCATCATGGGCTCAGTGTTAAACAGGCCCTCGGGAAAGGTAGAGGCAGAATGGAGTCTGAGGGAGGGCTGGCCGTGGGAAAAGGACCCAGCTGGAAGTTGATGTCTGGAAGATGGAAGAAAGGCATATGAGTTAAGCAATGTTAAGTGGCCAGAAAAAGACAAGGAGTGGGTTCTTCCTTAGAAACCCCTCCACAGGATGATCCAGACATTGAAGGTGCTTTGATTTAGCCAATGAGAACCATTGTGGACTTCTGAGCTGCAGAAATGTAATGATTTGTGCTACTTAACTGCTAATTTGTCATTTTCCAAAGGAAACCTACACACAGGTGGATAGTTAGGCTAATCAGGATTTAAAACATATGGAAAGAGAGTGAGCAGAGAAAGGAGGGGATAGTTAAGAATGGGAAGTGGTCAGTGGGTATATTGGGGATACTGAGGACCACGGAGGATCAGGAGGAGAAACAGAGGCCAACAGACACAGGAATTGTGCAAAAACACATTTGTCTGTTCTTTCAAAATAGACCACTAGGCTCTTTGACGGTAGAGGCTTTGAGGTGGAGACCACAAGCAATAAGGAACCAGTAAGACCAACACAGTGTCCATTGTCATGGAGATTGGCCAGCTAGTGTTTTTGAGATTGGAACCCAGGAACCTGAGCCCCAATCCAAGAATCTTTTCAATACATGATTCTGTCCCAGAAACAACAATTGATACATCAAACAAGCAGCTCTCTCTGCTTTGATAGCACCTCCCCAGAGTCAGGTGCTCTCCAGGGCTGCGCTCGCTCCTAGACTAACTTACATGTGATTATGGTCCAGGAGGCTAGAGCTCTGACTGTGAATACATACAGACCTAGGGTCAACTCAGCCCCACCTCCCTTGTCTCCTCCATATGAGTTTCCTCCTCGAGGTAAGATCCGAGTGTCTGGGACAATCAGTGATAATGGATGTACAGTGTCTGACACAGATTTGACCTTCAAATGGGACCTTTAAAGTGTTGCAAAACTAGTTTTCTTGTTTCCTGTACTGTACTATGTGCCAAAGAAAATTTCTTAAAAAATCAACAAGTCCTAGGCTATGCAAATCAAATATAAAAGGTTTTATTTCATGTCTTTTATAAAAGTACATATGATGGAAGCATGGCGGCTTGGATAAGAAATGATTACGCTACCTCATTGCAGCATTCAAATGAAACCTTTCAGAAATGCGCATAGCATCAGTGCCAAAGGAAAAAATTTCGATTTTATAGGAAAGAGCTAAAGCCATTACTTTTATGAAGCTTTATAAATGTCATTCAAACACACCATCTTATTTTCATTTGCTGTTGAAGCCTTTACTTATGCAAATCATGACAAATGTTAAGGAAGCTGGTGTTTCCTCTGGAATGCTAATAGAACCACAAGGAAGGGAGGAAGAATTACTTCTGAAGGAAAAATCCATACTGTAGCTCCTCCAGTCAGATAAAAATGAAGCGTCCAGAAAACCTCATTAATTAGGGTTCTGCTCATTTAGATATTGTATGAAAAAGCAAAGAGACAGGAACGCATTTCCCTCTCTTTCAACAAGGGCAAATTAATCGCATAAAGACAATTTTAGGGGAATGCTTTTCCTTGACTGGCTGTATAAAACATTCAGTTTTCAGGCATCTTATGCTACTTTGCGATTATTAATTTTATTTATCAATTTATTTCTTCACTCCTTAATTTAGACATTCACTCATATATTCATTTGTTTGGTTACATTTTTACTCATGTATTCGTTCAATAACCACTAAGATGCCGCTATACAAACAGCTTCAGTAAGCGCCGTAGGAGAGAGAAAGACGAATTAGGTAAGAATTTTGTTTGTGAGGAGGTCACAGTGTTCGAGAGATGAGAGGACCCAAGAGGCTAAGATGGCAGACTGATGGCAGGCCTCGGTTTCTCTATCCATCCCCAATCCTCACATCTAGAGGTGACAGATGATTCATTAAAGAAATTAATAACTACTGAGTGCCCTTCATGGGCAAGCCATTTCTGAGGGATTCTAAAAGCTGAGAAGGCAGATGGAATCAGATTAAAGAAAAAGTCCATAGTCAAGAGCACAGAGTACAGTATGTAGTAACAGGTGGGAGGCTTTGGGGCTCTGGAGTGAGAAGGTCTCTGTGGCAACTGACCAACAGGCAGTGAGGCTGGCTGAGGAACAGCGGAAGAGCAGCCAGGCAGGCTTTCTCATCACACTTCCTTGGCACGTGCCTGAGCTCTGTGAGGGGGGCACGACAGTAGGAAGTGATGGAAATAGTCCCACTCGGCCGACTTGCTACCTGACAGCATAAGCCTGCCCCGCCCTTCTTCCCCATTCTCCATCATTATTATAGACACAGACCAATCAGATTCTTTCCCTCAAAGATTAACCAGACTGTTGGGTGCTGTGCCATTGGATCGCTCAGAGCATGGATCAAGACGATCCAAAACTGCATGAAAGCTGGATTTAGGGGAGCAGAAACTAAGGGGTGACCAAAAATGAGGCAGATTCAGAGAGAAGCAGACAGGAGAGAAGGAGGAGGAGAAGAGAGTGAAAAGGAGGAGAAGGGAGGGGAGGGGAAGATGGAAGGCGAGAGGAAGAAGGAAGCAGAGGTGAGAGGAGGGGGGAGAAGAAAGGAGTGGGGAGGGGGAGGGAGGGGAGGGTGATAACTTTTAGTTGGCATGGACATCAGCTTAGACAGACTTGTGTCTTCTAGATATAACTTAGAAGTCTCTTGAGGCTGTCAGTCCCCCTTCTTCTAAACCCTAACTGAACAGACCTGCCTGTTTTCCTTTTTAAAGAACCTCTAGGACTTATTCAGATTCCAAAGAGCATCTTCACAGTTATACAGTAAGATAGCTCTTCTCAGTCCCGGTGTTCTTAATATCAATCCGATGGCATTCATGAGTGTGCTGCCACTTGGGAATTCAAAGGAGAATCTGCTCTCCAATACAAAGAAGAACAGCTTGTTCCCTTGCTTTACGGAGCTCACCTGACTTGCTCGGTGTCTGCTTGTTAACTCCCAGATAAACCAAAAATAATTTTACTATAAATATGTCTTGAATATTACACAGGACATACTTGTACCATAAGTTTTATTTGCTGTCTGTGAGAAATTCTGATTTAACTGGCTGTCCTGCCTCTTTGCTGAATTTCACACCTCGTCTTTGTAGGGGGTAGCACTCCCTTGGAGTTTGGTTTTTTTCCAGACAGTAATTATTTCTTATTCTTCTCATACACCATGGCATGTTTGCTAGCCCTTGACTGCGGCAGAAGGAGGGGTTAAGCTTGGTTTCAACTCTGAATTTCTGTAGTCTAACATAAAGCCTAGAACAAGCGGTTTTGAGTTCAGCAGAACCCACCCTCCTCAGACCTGGTGTGCAAAGGCTAGCGGAGACCACCAGCCCTGCCTCTGGCTGAGAGTTAAGCAGCTTTCTGAACTTAAAGTGCTCAATTCTCTGTGGTCTCTGATGATCTTCAAGCCAAATCTGTACTCTCTCAAGGCGTTCCCGTTTGATGGGCCAGAGAGATGGCTCAGCTGGCAAAGGCTCTGGACAACAAGCCTGAGGACCTCAGTTTGATCCCCAGGACCCACATGAGAGAAGATGAAACTGAGTTTTGCAAGTTGTCCTCTGACATCCATGTGCGCACCACAGTATGCATGCGTGTGTATGTGCATGGGTATGTGTGCACACGTGGGTCCCTCCAATCAACTTTTAAGAATTAAGTCCAAGTAATAAAAAAAATTCTACCCTAGAAACGAATGTACACAGTACCTTGCAGATGTCACTCCATTGCCCGGGACCGTTATCGTTGATGGCTCTAACCTTGAACAAATACTCCGTGTTGGGGGTGAGGTTGTGCAGCTCCAGGTTCTGCTGCATGATGTCCCGAATTTGTCCACAGAGCTCTGTTCGAACATTGTTAGGAGGAGTGGTAATGAGCTCATAGAATTCCATCTCAAAGGAGTCCACGTCTTCTGTCGGGCATGTCCAGTAAACCTAGGAGAAATGGGTGTGTGAGTATGGCCCCGATACATACCGCTTGGCTGTCCTTCCCATAAAGATTTGTGCTGTTGACTGTCTGTGGCTGTGCTTAAGCTGATCCCATCTTCCACAGCTGCTGAAGGCTTTGAGTTAGATCATGAGTAAGGGTCTTGGGAAGCTCTGATGAAGCCTGATGTGATATACATAATGGATTTTGGGAACAGGGGGTTGCTCTTCAGGGTTCTGTTACTGTCAGACAACATGGAGGCAATGACCATAGATACAGTTTACCAGATACCTGTTGTGCATCAGCTCTCACACCAGGTACTTCTATCTCCAGGTAATCAGGTAATCCTCAGAAACCTCTGGATTGTCTCCTCCCACTTTACAGGTACAGAAATGATACATTTGACAAATTCTGTTGAAGCACAGAGCATGGGAGAATGGCACACTCGTCTCCCAGCCTGTTATAGTTGCTGGAATGCAAAATATTTCCTTCTCTATCCATGAGGAAATATCCAGCAATAGAGACAGTATATTCATATTCAAATCAGAAGATATCAACTCCCGAGAAGAGATCTAGTAACAGGTCTCAAACAACAGATAACATTTGGCATAGAAATAGTTTACGACAATAGTGGTTTTACAATTATTTAGTGTGTGTGTGTGTGTGTGTGTGTGTGTGTGTGCACGTGTGCACGCACGTGTGCACTCACACCATGCCAAGTGCCATGGAGTGCATGTGTGGGTCAATGGATAACTTGCTGGATTCTGTTCTCTCCTTCTGCCATATGGGTCCTTGAGATAGGACTCAGGTTGTGAGGCTTAGGGATAAGTGCCACCATCTTGCTGGCCCTAAACTTAAAAAACAACAGTATTTTTAAAGCACATTTCAGCCTGGTAGTGATGGCACACACCTTTAACCCCAGCTCTTGGGAGGCAGAGGCAGGTGGATCTCTGAGTTTGAGGCCAGCCTGGGCTACAGAGCTAGTTCCAAGGCAGCCAGGACTACACAGAGAAACCCTATCTCAGAAAACAAAAACAAAACACATGCAGATTTCTAATGCTTTTATTATATTTTTGGCCAAAGTTAAATGTCATAGATACAATTAATGTATAATTTTATGAGTACTAATATTTATAAGTCAATTTACCCACCAAATAAAATTAACTAATTTTCTTTCTGATTATTCAGACAAGCACATTTATGATAACATGCTTTGGAAATGCAGAAAAAGTATAAGGGAAGAAAATAAACATTCCTCCTAATCCACAGATTGACTCATCACAGTGTTTTTCTCCTGTCAGGAGATACGAACACACTAGTGCATGTGATTGGGATTATGTGGTGTGTGCAGGTGCATACACATACATACAGACACATACACACACACACACACACACTCTCTCACATACACACACAGACACACGCACACATACAGACACATACAAACACACACTGTCTCTCACACACACATACACACACACACACACACATACTCTCTCACACACAGATGCACACACATAGACACACTCTGTCTCACACACACACACAGACACACACACACACTTTCTGTCTGTCTGTCTCTGTCTCTGTTTCTCTCACTCATACACAGATACACACACACACACACACACACACACTCTGTCTGTCTGTCTGTCTCTCTCTCTCTCTCTCTCTCTCTCTCTCACACACACACACACACACACACACATAAAATGAATACATGCAATGAAGCTTAAAATAAGACAACAAACCCTTCCAGAAGTAACTGACCCCTTCTACAGCTGAGTTGTCAGGTTTTTTTCTAGTTTTATACTTAGATAAGTGCTGCAATGAATATTTTGGGGGCATAAATTGTCACCTATTTTTTGTAGTTTAAGAAATTATTTCTAGAAATGAAATTGAGTTAAAGGATCTCTAGGATTTTGCAATACATACTAGTAACTTCCAAGACCCACTTGAACATTTTCTATGCAGAAACCCTGAAGATTTGGGAATAATGTCAACATAGATTTAATCATTGTCATTGTAGAGCACAATAAGTCCCTGGGAAGGGCCCATTCCATGACCTAAAGAGGGATCTTCAATATTACTACTATTGTTATTTTACATGAAATCACTGTCTGGCCATAGGTGAGGTGGCAGTGACTTGCTTGGTTGTGTTGGTCTGTCCGTGCCCCAAGCTTATCCAGGGGTAACTCTTAGGCAGCATAGGGGACTTCTCCAAGTTCAAGTATGGAGCAGACTCCACCAGCCCTTCTGCTTCATAGCAGGAGCTGTGGACTCCCTGTGAGCCTGGGGTGGCACTGAGATGAGACACCCTGTCACCAGAGTTCACTGATGTCACCCATACCCTAGGCCCTGCTGATTCAGCTGCTCACCCAGGCATCTTGTGTGAAGGACAGGGAGGGGCACTGTGCTGTGTTCAAGGGTCTCCAGGAGGACACTGCTCTACCTGGAACAGTTCTTGTGATATTAGTTTTATCCACTGAAGCAAAGATTACAGTGTCTCGGTGGAATGGGAAGGTAAGACTTGGTCTCTGTCTGGTCTTTGTTTTCTTGTGTTTAGACTCTACCTCCTGAAGCGCAGTCTGCAGACAGCAGCATTGGCAGCACCCAGGTTGTGGGAGACAAACTCTGAGGCCCCAAAACTGGATGACACAGAATCTACCTTCTAACAAGTCTTTAGGAGATGTTAGTGTCTAGGAACCACGAACCTAGACTTCAAGATGCCTATTATCTTTGGGAGAGGGACAGAAGATGAGTTCTGCCATATGGAAGCAGGCCACAGACTAATATGGGAGGTATGTCCCTGTAGGAACCTCAAAGGAGGTGAAACTCCCAACATTTAGCTACCCAGCAACCCCTTGCCTCCTTGAATCTGAATAAGGTTCTCCATAAGCAGTTCAATGGAAGCTCAGTTGGATTTCAGACAGATGATAAGGGAAAGACCATTTGTCTATGTTAGGTCAAGAAGGCCAATGACACGTCTTGTCTTAGGTGATGGCAGCCACGGACATCTATGAGATGCCCCACTTTCCTCATCACCCCTAAAAAAGAAGATGGATCTCAGCAGAGAGTTGGAATTTTCCTGGGGATTATCATTCTGATCTTTTCAAACCAGGGACAGCCTCAATTTACGAGAGGTTGCAGTTTAGAGGAACACATGGCTGGCAGCCAGTGGAGATTGCATTCTAACCCATTCTTAGATGCTACTTCCCACTTTCATGGTCTCTTAAGCCATTTTAAAACTTCCTTTGGTTCCAACTTGATTCTTTCTTTTTCCTTCCTTCCTTCCTTCCTTCCTTCTTCCTTCCTTCTTTCTTTCCTTTCTTTCTTTCTTTCTTTCTTTCTTTCTTTCTTTCTTTCTTTCTTTCTTTCTTTCTTTTTGGTGTGGTTGTATAAATGTGTGTGTGTGTGTGTGTGTGTGTGTGTGTGTGTGTGTGTGTGTGTGTGTGTGCGTGTGCGTGTGTGCTCACTTGACTTTTATGTTCGTGTGAAGACCAGAGGTTGATACCAACCATCTTCTATCTCTCTATCATATTAGACTGTCTTTCTTTCTTTCTTTCTTTTTTTCTTTCTTTCTCTCTTTCTTTCTTTCTATCTTTCTATTATCTATCTATCTATCCATCCATCCATCCATCCATCCATCCATCCATCCATCCATCCATCCATCCATCATTATGGTGGTATTTTATTTGTACTGAAATGTGATTTTAATTGTATGTTAATAAATAAAGTTGCCTGGGGGTCAGAGCTATTAGAGCCATAGCAAGAGCGTGGTGGTGGTGGTGCACGCCTTTAATCCCAGCACTTGGTAGACAGAGCTAGGTAGATCTCTGTGTGTAAAAGGATACAGCCAGCATTGGAGACACACGCCTTTAATCTCAATCCCAACCATAGAAGACTTGGAAGTCTCTACAGAAAGGCAGTGACGAGGCAGTCATGTGTTTGGGTTTACAACCAATGAGAAGGCAGAACAGAAAGACTATATAAAGACAAACACACAGGAAGTAGGTCTTTTTTGGAGAGCTCTCTTGGCTGAAGAGAATCGCTGAAGCAGGAAGGGTAAGGCTCTTAGCTCTGACCTCTTGGCTTTCTTCTCTGAATTGGCTCTGTGTTTCTTATTTAATAAGACGGTTGGTTACATCTACACATCATCCATCCATCCATCCATCCATCCATCCATCCATCTCTTCAGCCAAGAGAGCTCTCCAAAAAAGACCTACTTCTATCCATCCATCTATCTATCTATCTTTTATTTATTTCTTAGTGTCTGTCACTGAACCTGGAGCTCCCCTATTTCCACCAGGCTAGCTGATCAGGAAGACCCTGGGATCTCCCTGCTCTGCGTCCCCAGCAATGGAGTTACAGTTGCACACCTGGCTTTGAGATGTGTGATGCGGATGCAAACTCAGCTCCTCATGCTTGCATAGCAAGCACCTGCCCACTGAGCTGTCTTCCCAGCCCGTGTTTCTTGTTCAATAGATCAGGGCTGGGGAATGACGTGCACTTGTCACCGTGATTTCATTACACTGATGGGCTCATTAACATTTCAGAACCCTATGCTATTTGACTAGACTGCAAAGAGTCTAGAGGAGCAGGTTTGAGCGACCACATTTTAGAGGCCAAAGAGGTATGCACAAGCTTTTCTGACCCCTCACTTTCATCCTATGCCCCACCCATCCCCGTTGTCTTACCTTGGCAGCTCTTGGATACACCAGAGTCTGATAGATGACAATTGGGCCTGGGGTCTTCACAGAGGTGTCATTGAATGAGTACCAGTTGTGGAAGCTATTGCTGCTCTGTGGGGCCTGGGTTTCCCCCGTGGCACTCCAGTAGGTATAGAGGCCGTCAGTCTGTTTCACAGGTGCAGCAGATTGGGCCCTCCCAAAGGCCTCCAGACCTATCTTGGCCTTCTCGTTGGTGGCATTGAAGGACAGCAAGGAGGAGCTTCGCTGGTATATCTGCTGGTTGCCGAAGCTGTGGGTGCTGAAGGTGACCTTCCTGGCAATCATCATTTCTGAGTGGATAGGATACTGGGAAGGGAGAGAGTCCCCTGAGGAGCAAGCCTTCTTGGGTCCTGTGGGAAAGAGTTCGTGGATGGCACTGGAGAGTTCAGCAAAATCCAAGGGAATGCAGTGTAGGGAGTGCAGCCGCAGCTGAGGGTCGGGTCTGAAGGTGTTCTGGATGCCCTCCTCGATCTGGTCTACCAGGATCTTAGCAGACTGCAGGAACGCCACCTGTCCTGTTTCCTTCAGCGCTTCCTTGGAGTAGGCAATCAGGCCGTCCATTTCATTCACTTTTGTAGTTGTGACGTACACGTACTTCTCAATCTCTTTCTGCCTGGACACTTCCAGATTCTCTATCTGTTCCATGATCATCTTCTCTTTCTCCTGGAGGATGGCTCGCAGTTTAAGAAATCCAGTTCTGATCTCCTTCCGTTTTGCCTCTTTGTCAGCTTTAAAGCTACTTTTTAAAATGTTGAATTCCATCAAGTCATTATCAATTTCATATCGGACTGAAAAACAATCAGGATGGCTACTGTGAAAATTTTCATCTTCCCAGATGTCAAGCTGTATCAAATTGGAGCCAATCTCTGTGGACTCACAGGAAATGAATGGAGGGAGAGGGAGGACAGACACTTGGAGCTGGACTGACACAGGCTAGAACAGGCTTTCAAAATAAATTCCCCTCTATTTTTCCTCGCCATGCCCCTAGATGCAATTTTCCCCAGGCATATGTCTCTCTTGTAGCAGAGAAAGAAAGAAATTTCTGATGACTGCTGAATGCTACCTTTCAAACAAATATTGATCTAGAGTTCTTCAGCATGGACAGTAGGCCACTCCTTACAGATATGTACTGTAAGTGGCACTGGTACCCTCCCACCCCAACCTGCCCAGCATTCTATGTTTAGAGAGTCTTGTCACGTTTAGCACTGGTATTGGAGACTGGGTGTGTGACTCACTAGCTGCCTTGTGCTGACCACTTTGAGCACAGTTGTCTTATCCATGGAAGAGATTTTAGCATCTGCACTGTATGATTATTGAGACTGGACATGGTATATTCCAAAGGTATCTTGGCTAGTTTTATGTCAACTTGACACAACCTGGGGTCATCTGGGAAGAAGGAATCTTAATAGAGAAAATGACTCCATAGGATTGGCTTGTGGGCAAGTCAAAAGATATTTTCTTAATTGATGATTGATGTGGGCCGGTCCTAGCTCACTGTGGGTGGTACCATGTCTGGGCAGGTGGTTGTGGATGGTATAAAATAGGAGGCTGAGCAAGCAAGCCATGAATGAGCAAGCCATGAATGAGCAAGTCATGAGCAGCATTCCTTCATGGCTTCCATTTCAGTGTATGCTTCCAAGTTCCTGCCTTAAGTTCTTGCCATGACTTCCTTCAATGATACACTAAGATGAGGAAGTGTAAAATAAAATAAACCCTTTCTTCCCTGAGTTATTTTTGGTCATGGTGTTTTATCACAGCAATAGAAAATCTAATTAAGACAAAGGCCGGGCGGTGGTGGCACACGCCTTTAATCCCAGCACTTGGGAGGCAGAGGCAGATGGATCTCTATGAGTCTGAGGCCAGCCTGGGCTACAGAGTGAGTTCCAGGAAAGGCAGGACTGTTACACATAGAAACTCTGTCTTGAAACAAACCAACAAACAAATAAAACAAACCAAAAGGCAAAAGCTTATATGGTCCTCTACAGAAGGAGCCATTTCTCTAAATGGATTTCTAGGTCTGACTGAGGACAAAGACACATTCAGAAATTGTGAACCCTTTACTGAACTGTATGAAATATTATTGTATAAGAACCAGGGTTGGCCTCTTTTATAGAAATGGTATTATATGGCCAGTATGAACAACTGGACATGCAGACAGAAGGAAAGCAGAGCCTAGGCAGAGTAGTATTGGCTCATTTGGAGTTTTCCTGTTACTATCTATCCATTAGCAGCTCACTGAATTTGTTGTCTGCAACTTGGATGGAACGTTCATGGGAGATACCTTCAATTGAGATGACTCTCAGAGTTAGATTAATTATTCCCCCTGGAAATGGGGAGGTGGGTGGTAAAAATAATTTCTATGTTCAGTAACAAACAGAACTTCAGGATATGACTGGAGAAAACTCATTTTTTCTCTTTGGAAAAAGAGGCCAAATTTCAGAAAGGTTGTGACAAGGATTAGAAGAGCTTTATGTGCTTATTATCCATCAGAGTCCCCCCACACCCCACCCCGGGTGTGTGTGTGAGAGAGAGAGGGGTGAGAGCATGTTTCATAAGATTAACCACAACAACCCTTATCCTTCCCATTTTACAGATAGAAAAGCTGAGTCACAGAGATGCAGTGACTTAGTGACACTAAATGGCTGGTGGTAACTGTCATGGATGCCATGACGGTGACTTGCTGGCCATGACAAGGTCTCCCAGTGTCTGGATTTTTTCACCAGGCGGAGCAAGGCTCCCTAACAGGTGTCCCACACCAACTTCTGATCTTTTTCCACAGCTGGGAGTTACCCTGAAGGGGAGTGGGAAACCGACCAGGACCTGCTTTGAACTTGGCGATGGCGCTGAAGAGGGCGGCAGACCTCTCGGAACAGGCGTCTATGAGGCTGACCGTGTCATGGCCGTTGTGGAAAGCGATCTTGCAGAAGGTGCAGAGCAGCTGGTTGTCACTGCGGCAGTATTCGTTGATGCGGCTGGACGGGTGGTGGATGCAGATCTTCTCGTCCTGGTCCTCGGCGCTGGTGTCCACGAAGACGTGGTCCTGCATGGCCACATCCGAGTGGAAGGCCTTGAGGCAGTCGTTGCACAGGTTGAGGCGGCAGGTGACACAGCGCTTGTAGGCGATGCGACGGCTGCGGCACACTTGGCAGAGGATGGGCCCCGAGGACCGGTCAAAGCGCCACTTGAGGTAGCCGTGCTCCTGCATGTAGCGTTTGGTGAGGCGCCCGCGCAGATAGTTTTCTGGAAGGTGCATCTGGTTGCTGTAGGGCATGCAGTGCGAGCGGTTGCACATCGGGCAGATGAGGATGAAGAAGTTCTCAGTGACCTCGGCATGCTTCTGCAGCTGCCGCAAGCACTTCTCGCACAGGCTGTGGTTGCAGGGCAGCATGAAGGAGTGCAGGCGTAGCCGGTTGCACAAGGGGCAGGAGAGGTGGCTCACCAGGTGGCTGTTGGTGGACATGGACTTCGGCTCCTCCAGCTGAGTTTCGCTGCTCCCTATGCGGAGGGCGGTCTTGGAGCTGAAAGGAAAAGCACACACAGGCTTCAGGAACACACTCAAGAATTCCAGAAGGATCTATCCAGAGAGGTGACCCATTGGAATGGTGATGAAATGGCTCTTGCGTAGTGCCTGGCTTCTTGGCTGGCCTCTACTCTCTTAGTAAATAAACTCAGTAAGGCATTCGGTACCTGCTACTGGTACCCATGCCATAGCATTTTAAAAGATGGTTAAGACCAAATTTAACGCTTGTTTGCACGGAGTACATTCCTGGGTCCAGCCGGAGTCCTGAAGTGCCCTCCTGCTAATTTTAATTTTGAGGGAAAGAAAAACAACAGAGCTGTAGCAGTGTGGTGTAGTCAGTTGGGCCTGGATGTTCCACTGCATATTAGTAACACCACAGAGCATCAGCAGGAGACAGGGCCACAGTGACTTTGATGGATCAGAGCAGAAGTAATGCCACTGCATGGTGCTGGAACTCTGACCAGAACATTGTCTAAACCGCAAAAATGACCTCCCACCCACCCGTGCAGGGGAATGTGAGTGATTACACCTGCTCTTTCTCTTTCCAGAAGCAGATTCAGGCTCCACATGTTCTAGCTGCTTTCTAGACAAGAATAAGAGAAACAACAGATTGACTCTATTCTCACTAACAAGATCCCAAGTCCTGTCATGGCCTGTGCTACCTTCTTACCCAGGTATCTCACACTGGCGTGGAGTGGGGCATGTTCCCATTTGATACAATGAATCAATAAATCCAATCTTGCCCAATAACAGGCATGCTTTTAGTGGCTGTGCCTGGAAGGCAGTGCCATTACCATTACTGTTGTATATGGGATGGGACATAGGGGCAGTGACATTACTATTACTGTTGTGTATGGGATGGAACATAGGAAGGTAGTAAATGGCCTTTCTAAGACAGCAAGAGACAATCTCTGAGCTGAGACTAGCACCCCCGAGAGCTGACTTTCAGACCATCAGCAATACACAAGGGTCTGCCTCTGGGAAGGTACACATGATGGGGCATGGAACTTTTAGAGCTGCCCATTTAGAGAGGTTCTTAATCTCTTTTGTGCTCAGTTTCCCCAACTGTAAATCCAAGATCACAGCACTTCCTTGGGAGTTTATAAAGTGTACATAAGATGATCCATCATAAGGGTGAATATGGTTTCCATAATCGCTCCCCTATGCCGTTCACCAGCTGATGTCCACAGTCAAAGAGGAAACCACGGTAGGAGGAGTTAGCAGTCAAGCTCATGAAGCCATGCATGCATCTGTTGTGAGTTGAGGGTCTTTATTTGTCTAATATATGAGGTCAGCTTCATGTATTCAATTGCAAGAACTATAAGTGGTGGGAGGCTGTGCTTGTGGAGTTCAAGTGCATGCTCTGAGGAGCTGCAGCCAGCATAAAAGCAGTTTAGGGACATAAGTGACTTGGCTGTGGGAACGGAGATGCAAGCTGATGCACAATTTGTGGCTATTCCCATCATTTCCCTGTTCATAGTAAGGTCCTGGTCTTGGTGTTGGGCTGTGTTCTCTTCTGTCCTAGCCTTGCTGATTTCCCTTTGTCTCCTTCTCCTCTTTATTGACCAAGGAACCTGTGCCCCCAAGCACTGACAGCCAAAGGTGCTCCCCAAGCCTATTGCCCCAGGGTGGCCCTGAGTTACAGGGAGCCCCCGTATATTCTTAGGCACCCAGACAGCTGGCTCATCCCTGAGGACTTGGATGCTGAGATCCAGGCTCGCAGCCTCACTGTCTTCAGCCTTGTTTCCTTTCTGCTTCCTAGCCTCCTGCTTGGTCCCAGAAGGGTCACCTGGAGTCACAAGTCAGTTGTACTTGTGGTAGCTGGGTGGGCTTCTTTGATAAAAAGATAAGACTCAGAATGAGTATATAATAAATGGAGAGAGCGTAAGAGACCAGCAAGAGGAGCAGAGAGAAGGGAGATACTGTGTGAAGAGTGAGCAGGACAAGAGACGCCTGTTAATGGCCCCAGGAAGTGGACTACTTGTGAGAAAGGGATTGAGGGAAACAGTAACACCGCCGAGAAGGCTAGATTAGACCAGAGTGAGGGAGGAATGAGGATACTGAGCTGGATTGCAAGGGAAGGGGTTCAGAAGCCAGGGGAGCAGATTGGAAGGCAAGTAGCAGTGCATCACAGCTGACTCCCTGGAACTGGCATAGCATCTCTGCCCACCCTCAACAGACTGAAGCCCCCCCAGATAGGCTTCTGGGCCCCTAGGTTCTATGCCAAAGCAGGCACTAAGCCCAGTTTGCCTTCCTGCGGAAATGCCCGCCATGGCTTCCCTGCATGGCTCCCTCCCTTCTAAGTGCTGCCCTGTTCTCACATCTGCCTTCTAAGCTTCCAGGTCCCACCCTCAGCTCCACCAGATTCTCCCCATTAGAATCACCTGACTGGGAGAGAGCTCTTACAGTTTTGAAGCCCAAGTGGTACCCCAACATCAGTGAAAAATAGAATGCCGAGGAGTGGAGACCAAAGCCAGTGTTTTTAAAGTCCCCAAGGGGATTCCAATGCACTTCTGCCTTGGAATCAGGGGACCACTGATGCCTAAGGCATTTGTCTAAAGCACTGATTTCAGCCCCCCTCCCTGCCACCTTACAGGACCGTCTTCGTACCTCCTCTGAGAAATCTCCTCTTGCTCCTGAGTCCCCTGACATGTGACATAAAAAGAACAGTGTGCTAGATGTGGGGGTTGCTACCTTACCGAGTGGTTGAGAATCTGAGTGTCAGGACTTTGGATGGGAAAGAAGGGGGGGCCAGCAGTTCATGGTACCTCTGTAGGTTATTAGGGTCAAAAGTGGCCCCTGGAAGTTCTTACTCTTCAGGTAAATGTTGCAGTTCATAAGAGGGAGATGAATAACAGTTTGTAATTTTTGTGTGTGTGTCATATAACAGGCTACAGAGCACATACTGTATCATGGTCTCCATTTTGTAATATGGCATTTTTAAAGAATAGGACCATTGACCTAACTCTGGATTCAAGTCATGACTCGTCCTCTTCCTAGCTGTGTGGTTCTGGGCAACTTAGTATCTCCCTGCTAAATATCCTCCTGAGCCCATGGGCACAGGGTGAGGGAGAGGAATGGTTATATAAACAGTGGCTAGCAAAGTTGCTTACCAGCAATTATCAGCTATGGTTTGTTTGGGAGATGAAGAGCATTTGGGGTCAAAGAGTGCTCTGTGCATTCACACAGATGATGGAATTTGGGTTTGGGACTTGGGGGTCTATACCACCAGTGGATATTTAGTATGCACTTAACTGCTACAAAATTACCATTGTTTTGTCCAGGTAGAGTGCACTCTAGGAAGCACTGGCTGGCCTGTTCTGGGGGTCCCTACAGCTGGCTTGAGTTAGTTCCCCAGGTTTTCTTTCTTGTCTTTGCCAAAGTAACCACCCGGTGGATGGCCAGCACTTACGAGGTGCGGATGCTCCGAAGACGGCCCCGTTTGAAGGTGATGGTGGCGTTCCGGCAGCAGCGGCTCTCGTAGTAGTAGCATTTCATATTGGTGTTGGTTGTGCAGCAGTACTTACAGTTGGGGTCATTGGCCCAGGAGCAGCAGCACCAGTGGCAATTGGGGTTCTCCGCGCAGGTGCAGTGGCAGAACTGGCAGTTGCGCTCGTCCTTGTAGGGGCAGGGGAAGCAGGTGCAGTTCCGCTCCGAGGTGAAGATGAACTTGCAGCACAGACAGGAGAAGAGCCGAGGGCAGCATCTCTGCCAGGTGCAGCATGGAGAACACACACACATAGCCGTCTCCATGGCTCTGGGGTCCTTGGCACTGGGTCTCCGGAGCTTGGACAACTTCCTCTACCGGATTCTTGAGGTGACTTTCTCCCTCAGAGGGATCCTTGCCACCTCTAGTGAGGCTGGCAGTTCGGGAGTTGTGGCAGGAAGTTGGCCAGTTTAGGAGGCTGTCGCAGGTGGTATCCCTCCTAGGAAGCTTCTGAGCTGGCTTGACCTCTTTCAGCCTGTGGACATTTGCTTATGTCATAATCCCTGACTCCCACCATGCCTCAACATGGATCAGTAGGTGAGAGGAAGGCACCCAGCAGCAGTCTGAACCTCCTGGAGACCTTAGCTGTCATTTGTCACCTTTCAAGTTCTCACATAGATTTCAGGTGTGGTTTTTCCCTGGTTGGTACTTTTCCTGATATTTGGGTACGTTGACGTCAGTGTTTGTCTTTATTGGCTGAAAGACTGGGGTATGACTAATTAGAAAATACAGATCGACATGATGTTCCTCTTCCATCAACAGAACTCTTTGATAAGCAAAGCACAGCATTTACAAATAACAGCAACATCACAGTCACTATTTGGAGAGGAAATCGAAGGGACAGAGACATGGGTTCACTCAGGCCATTCCTCCTTTCACTGGTCCCTGCTCATGTTCATGAGGCTTTATGCTTAAATCAGTCACAGATTTGGGACTCAGGCTTTGTGTCTTCTCCTCTGTACCCCTGCCTCACCCCTGCCCCCACCATATCCATTTATCAAGAGGCTAAGGCACATAATCATCAGCTACTCTGCCAGTGTGTACTCCGACCCCCAGAAACAGGGCCCTGTATATTAGGAGGAATTTGCTTTCCTCTTCCTGAAGCTTGCCGAGATGAAAGGAGTAGAGACTTCCTGGCTGCACCATCCTAGAACAGGAACACCGATTCATTACATTTCCCCAAATACTGCAGAAGTGAGAGCTGAGTTTGGCGGCAGGAGTTTTAGTGAATAATTTATTACCTCTTCCCATGATTATCACCTTTGTAAAGAACATTCACCGAGTGCTAACTGGGCCAGCCTCACATGGAGTTTCGAGCTCTACAGTTGAAAATCCTGAATCCTAGGGTGAGTGCTTTACGTTTTGGTGGATAATACTAAATTGTCACTCCAAAGCATACTCCAGATTACACCAACACTAGGAATAGGCACATGACACCTCCACCGTGTTTGCCCAAATTCAGTCTTATCAATAAGCTGCCCTACTCTGGGGACACAGAGATGTGAGTTCCATTCACAGACATTTCAACATTGGTCTCTATAAGGCATTGTTTTTTTTTATTTATTTATTTTATTTTTCCTCTCTTTAAAAACATCGAGATGTAATTCACTTACCATTGAAGTGAACAAGTCAATACCTTTTGGCATATTCATTAAATTGGGCAAATACTACCATTATCTAATCCCAAAACATGTCTGTCACACCCAAAGACACCCATTAGAAGTCATTTCCTCCTCCATTTCCCCCCGCCCTCATTGACCAATTATAAAGATTATCAAATGAAGGTACCTCCCTAATTCTTTTTATGTGTCCAAAATGAATTCATTAAACCCAAACTGACAAACGCAGTTGAGAAAAGGCAAACTGGAGGCCATCTAATTTAATGCTACACAAATGGAAGCTTTTAGGGAAGTATTCATCGGATTGCAATAACACATTTAAAAAGTCATGCAACTTACCTTTGGTCGTTTGTTCTAATAGAATTCTTCTCACAATCATTTGAGTCACCTGCATGTGTGCAGAAGAGGCGTTTGGCCTCTTGATATGAATGTTTGTGTTAAAAACACCAAATATGGGCACTGGAGAAGTGGCTCAGAGGTTAAGAGCACTGGCTGCTCTTTCAGAGGTCCTGAGTTCAGTTCCCAGCAACCACATGGTGGCTCATAACCATCTGTAAGGGGATCTGATGCCCTCTTCTGGTATGGATGAAAACAAAGCACTTATATACATAAAATAAACAAATATTAAAAAAACCCACCAAATACTATGGGGGTTTATATATAGTTACTGTAAAAAAAAAAAAAAGATAAAGTCTTGCTGAGTGGTCCAGGCTAACACAGAACTCGTGACAATTTTCTTGTCTCAGCTTCCCAGTGGGTGGTATTACAAACATGTACCACCTTTCCTGATTTATAGTTGACTTCTTTTTTTTTTTCTTTTTTTTGAGACAGGGTTTCTCTGTGTAGTTTTATGCCTTTCCTGGAACTTGCTTTGTAGACCAGGCTGGCCTCGAACTCACAGAGATCCGCCTGCCTCTGCCTCCCAAGTGCTGGGATTAAAGGCATGCACTACCACTGCCTGGCTAGTTGACTTCTTAATATAATGAAGTTTAAATATTTCAGCCTCAAAGCCAGCATGATGTTAGAAAACACCAGGGGGTTCCTGGGAAATGCAAGATAAAAAGCAGTGATACCTAATATCCACAGCTACTCACCCTGATTTTGGGAGTTCTTCACAGCAAACCAAGCAGGAACCAGGGCTTGCAGAAAAACAACTAGGGGAAGGAAGAGAAAGGTACCACAGGAAGAGCAAAATCAGACAGGCCACACTACCTCAGACGAAAATACTGCGGGAGCAAGGGAAAACCACAGATAATGCAGTCTATAGAACCAGAGGAAAACATCTGCAAAACATCTGTATCTCTAAGGTATAAGAAACTTCTACAGCTCAATAGCAAAAAGTCACATAACCTTTTAAGATAGACAATTCTCCATCCCAAACAGATGTGTTTCCCAAGAAGACATCTAGTCTGTTAGTATATGAGGAGGTGCTGAGTATCACTAATCATCAGGGAAATATGAATCAAACCCACAAGGACATATGATATTTCTGCAATACAGACAAATGCAATATGTATTGATCAAATCAGTGTATTTAATGTTTCCTTCTTAATAATTAGTGTTTGCAGTCTCTTCTGTCCCTCCCCCACACCCCCGCCCATGGGATACATGCTAGGTCACTGGACTAGGACTCTACTTTGCCAGTTCTGCTGTAGAACACTAGAACCTATTCCTTCTATTGTCTTTTACTTTTATTATTTTAAAAAAGATTTATTTATTTATGTGTGTGGGTGTTTTTCCTGCATGTATGTATGTGCACCATATGTGTGCCTGGGGCCTGCAGAGGGTGTCGTATCCCTTAGAACTGGAATTATGGATGGTTGTGAGCCACCATGTGGGTGCTAGGAATTGAACCCAAGTCCTCTGTAAGAACAAGGGCTAACCACTGATCCATCTCCCCAGCCTTCTCCTTCTCCTCCTCCTCTCCCTCCTCCTTTTTAACTCATCATCCACTCTCTCTCTCTACCTTCTCTCCTGCACCCTATCTTCTAGTAATCATGGTTCCACATTCAGATTGACTTTTTTTTATCATTCATGTATGAGGGAGACTATGAAGTATCAGTCTTTCTGTGCCTAGATTTTACTTGATATAATATTCTCCTATTCCATTAATTATGCTGCAGATAATAGAATACAATTCTTTTAATGGATGAATAATATTCTGTTGTGCATATAAGTTGCCACATTTTCTTTATCTTACTGATGGGCATCTAGGTTGATTTATATCTTAGCAAATCATGAATTGTTTAAAAATAAATGTGGGACATGCTTTCTTTGATAAGATTTTACATCATTTAAATTTACATCTAGAACAGTGGTTCTCAACCTATGGGTTGCAACTCTTTTGGGGTTGCAGATCAGATATTTATATTAAAATTCATAACAGTTGCAAAATTACAGTTATGAAGTAGCAACAAAATGATTTTATGATTGGAAGTCACCACAACATGAGGAATTGTATTAAAGAGCCACAGCATTAGGAGGGTTGAGAACCACTAATCTAGAAGAACAATATTTGAGTTGTGTGATAGGATTTTTTTAAGAACCTCCATGTTACTCACTTAATAACTGTTTTATTTAACTTTCCTACCAACTGTTAGTGAGTTTTCTTTTCTCCATAGTCTTCCTAGCAATTTATCAGCTTTTCCTTTTCAGGTAACAGTTGTTCTAATTGGGGTGAGATGGTAGCTCATTGTGGTTTTGATTTATGTTTCTCTCATAGCTAATGATGTTGAGTATTTCTCATAAATTTAGTGACCATTTGAACTTCTTCTCTTAATACGTGTTTGCTCATCTCCTTTGTCCATTCTAAATTGGATTACCTGTCTTTGCTACTGAGTTGCTTGTGTTCCTTATATATTCGGGGTATTAATCCTTTGTTATTTGAATAGTTTGCAAAAACATATCAACTTGTCGATTTTCTCTACAATCTTGATCATTTCCCCTGCTGTGTGGAATCTTTGTGGTTTGATTTAATCCTCTTTGCATATTTTTAGATTTGTTTCTTATGCTTTAGGGGCTGCAGACAAAACAAAACACACAATCCTGCGAACACTGTCTTCCCTCTGTCTGGAAGCACTTCCCTTAGCTTCTGTTAAATACTTTCATGCCTTATATTTATGGATTTGATCCCTTTGAGCTTAATTTCCTTCTAGAAGGTGAGAGTGGAGGCCAAGCTTCAATCTTTTGCATTTGAATATCCGGTTTCTCATTATAGTACTATCTGTAACAGCATAAAACCAAAATGAAACATAAATGACTGTGGACAGAGACGGATCAAGTAAAATCAACCACCATGATGTCTGACTGAGCTGTTAGGAGAATGAGAGATCCCTGCCTGCTGGAAACTGATTCCTGAGATATACTATTCAGTGAAATAGTAGTGTGGAGATGGTGTGTGGAACCACCATTCATTTCAGGAAAAGCCTGGAGTCTTTGATTTATATTTTATATGCTATGTAAAGATAAACTAAGTTAGATTTATGAGAGTGCAGAATGGAAGGGACTATGTATCTTAGTTTATAGAATTAATTTTAAAGCAATTTAAATATCTTTTTGCATAATTATAAACCAAAGTAAAATACAAATAACACATTGAAACAAATAAATTTAACTATAAGTTGAGTTCTGTATAGGAGGAATTATTTCAAATCAAAAGGGATGGTGCATCAGCACAGTCATTTGACCAGACCCTCTGTGAATTTTATCTTTTAACTTGTAACTAACACAAAACAAAAGAGAAAATAGATCTTTGATTCTTTATTAATCACCCAGGTTTTGGTGGTGATCAAATTGTTATGAAAGGGTTGGATGCACGTTGAACAATCATGTAAATGAGAGCTTGTGCTGTTATAAAGAAAGAAAGGACACACAGACAGGCGACAAACACAATCAAGAAAACCCAGCTACACCGATCTGAATTGGAAATACCAATACCAACCCATGCTATATTGTTTGAAAATAAAAATTAGCCTCATTTTTAAAGCTAGTTTCTAGTTGTGCTTTGTTGTCTTTGGAGCCTTTGCTTAGCTGTGGTGATTTGTTAATGAATGAACTGGAAACATTCTCTTAAAAATAGTGCTGACTCTGGCCACAGAAGAGTCCCAAGGACCACGACCTACCCAATAGTAACAGTATTTTTGTTCTCCAGATTGCGGTCCCTGGATATCACCAAGAGCAAGCTGGGCTTTATGGAAGAATGGGTGACTTCAGATCTGGGCAAGCACACAGTAAACATGGATCTACCTCTGATAACATTCCCCTCAGAGCTAGTTTCATTTTGGTAGAGAGCACACAATGGGGGTGGAGGGGTGGGGCAGCAAGCTGGTATGGCCAGGGCAAGTGACAGCTCAGGAGGGAAGGAACGAGACCCAACGAGTATGTGTAGTGGTGCTGAGGTGTGATGCCCAGGGACCTGAGTAGGACTGAGGCACCCGGTTCCTCCACTAACCTGGAGAGCCAACTATTCACAGATCAGCTGACTCTTTTGAGAACTTGCTTGCAGTGAGGAGAAGCATCCTCATCTAAGATTATGCCCCTCTTTAAATAGCTTCCCTGATTACAGTGGGACAATTTTAAAGGATTATCCCAGTTGCCAAAGAGGTCCTGTTGGATTGGCTGAGGTTGATAACTTTGATTATATTACAATTTGTCTTTTATTCCTGCTGAGTCCTATTTATTTCAGTCCCTATGATGGTCTGAAAGAGAAATGTCTCCCATAGCTTAGGTATTTGAATATTTGGACTTCTGTTGATCACATAGTATGACATTATAGAACTTTTAGGAAGTAGTCTTTCTGAAGGAAGTGCCTCACTGAGGGCAGAGCTTATGGGATTCTAGTCTTGCCAAATCTAGATGACTCTCTCTGCTTTGTGTTTGCTGGCAAAGATGTGATGCCTCAGCTTCCTGATTCTGCCACCTGTGTCCATGCCTTCCTTCCCTGCCATGGTGGATGCTCTCTCTGGAATGTAAGCCCAAATAAACTCTTTCTTTTGTAAGTTGCTTTTGGTCATGGTATTTTATCACAGCACAAAAAGTAATCAATGCGGTCCCAAGACTAGTTCCCAGTAAACGACTTTTGTGCAAACCTGCATCTCAGAGTCTGTTCCTTGTGGAACCTGGATGATGGAAACAAGTTTGGGAGCACCTGGTTTGGAGGTCCACTGCCCATAAGACCCAGCATTTTCATTTGTCCAATGAGAACAGCTTCCACTGGTCCTAGTGTGGGACATGGTCTGTATTCACAGCTCTAACTATGGACTCCCACGAGGAATGTAGTTTATTCACTGTCCTCCTAGACCAGGTAGCTTATTATTTGAGGTCATTTTTATCATGAGCAGTGTTGCCAGGTAACAAGCTGACTGTCCACCTTTATTAGTTTCCAGGGGAACGGAGCTGGATAGTTAACCCAAGGTCGTATTTCCACAGAGACAGAGAATGTGTTTTGTTAACCATTTATTCACATTTTAAAAGCCAAGAATTCATACAGATGACTTTAGGTAAACAAAAATGCCAATACCCCTTATTTAGAGGCTGTTAGGAAACAAACTCATTATTTTGAAACCTGGTAAATAAAGGGAAGGGATAGTTTATCCAGACTTTCTCATGTATACTGTGCCTGAGGATAATGAATAATCTGATAAAGGGGATTTTTTTTTTAAATAGAACTATTCCAGCTAATAAAGGAAGGACAGAATTAAGCTATCATCATGTTGCAGCTTCTAATGAAAAGATGAATCTAGGCCTTAATCTTCCACAACTGCTAATAGCACCAGAGGGAGACAATTTGATGTTCTGTGCCTCTGATGGGAGCTCACAGCATGACTTACAGAAAATTCCAACCTAAATGTGATCAGGCTTCTAGTTCTTAATATTAACTGTCAGGGATCAAAGATTATGCTAAATGATACTGTGATACTATTTCCACAATCTAGACTGTGGAAACTGTATGAGACAAATGAACCAATTTCTTCAAAGAAGACAGTGACAGAGAGGAGAGGAAGAGGAGAGAGAAGAGTGATGAAAAACAGATAAATGGAGAGACAGGATTTATATCTAAAAGAAATCTAAACGATGAGGCCTGTACATCAAGCAACTGCATCATGAGTGTATTTAGACTCATTTGAACAGCCTGTAAAAATGATGAGTCAGTTGAGGGAAATTTGAAATTGACTGAAGATTATACAATACAAAAAAGATTATTGATGTTTAGCTGTAGCAATAGGTTGAGTATGCCTTACCCAGAATGCTTGAAATCAGAAGAGTTCTAGAGTTAATTTTAAAAAATGGAATATTTACACACACATATCATATAAATTTGTGTATGTATGTTTCCTGTATGCATGTATGTATGTATGTATGTATGTGTGTACCTTGGGGGTGGAAACCGAGCCTAAAAACAAAACTGATTTATTTCATATACACCTTCTGCACATAGCCTGATGGTAATTTCATTCAGTATTTTGACATTTTGTGCATGAAACAAAGTTTCATGGTGTATGAATTTCTACTTGTGTTATCACATTGGTGTTGGAAACACTTTTGAGTTGTAGAGCATGTCCGAGTTCTGAGAATTTGGATTAGGGATGCTCACTCAGTCTGTTGTTTGTATTACGGTTATTTTATGTGCACTCTCAAGTTTTAGAGGTAGAGACAGATGAAATCACAGATGAAATGGTAAAACAATTTGTTTTTCTTTAAAATAATCTACACTCTGGGGAAATGAGTATAGAATTAAACAGGATTAGTCATGCATTTATAAACACTGAAACTGGGAACTGGCTTGTCGGCTTAGTAGTCTCTTTTCTTCACTGTTACAAGTTTGAACATTCCTTCGAAATGACTAGAAGCATGGATAGATTTACATTTTAGGACAATAATCTCAAGAAAATCTACCCATAGATATCACCTGCATTTTTTGGCTCTTACTATTTGTCTTAGTTAGGGTTTCTATTGCTGTGAAAGAGGCACTATGACCACGGCCACTCTTATAAAGGAAAACATTTGATTGGGGCTTGGCTTACAATTCAGAGGTTTAGTCCGTTGTCATTTTTGGCAGGAAGCATGGCAGCACACAGGCAGACATGGTGCTGAAGAGGGGCTGAGAGTTCTACATCTGGATTCTCAGGAAGCAGGCAGGAAGAGTGAGTCACTGGGCCTAGGTTGAGCTTCTAAACCTTCAAAGTCCCCACCTGTCTCCCCTTCCCCGCCACTTCCTCCAAAAAGACCACACCCACTCCAACAAGACCACACCTCCCAACAGTGCCACTCCCTGTGAGCCTTTGGGGGCCATTTTCATTCAAATCACCACACTATGGTATATATTTGTGAACAAAATAGGCCTTACTGTAATACACAGGAGGAGATGGACAAGAGACATTGGAAAGCTAGAGAATTTGTGTCTTCTATGGCTACTCTGGCTACTCGGTGGCTTAAATAGAAATATATTCCTCATAATTCTGTATAAGGGCAAAGACATGAATTTATACATAGACCAGAGGTCTCAGGTCAAGGTAGAGGCAAGGCCATGCTCCCTATGAGGCTCCAGGAAAGTATTTGGTCCAACCTCCTTGTTTTCTAATAATTTATTAATTTTTAGTCAGTATTCAAAATAATGACACATGTATCATTATACTTTTCTTCTAGTTTGCTCCCCTCCCTCACTGCCTTTCCCAGTGATCTATGCTCTCTGTCTGACTGGTGTTGTTTTTCTCTCAAACAGTCTATTCTTCTGTTTTCATATTTCATGTCTCCTATCATCCTTTCTTTCCTACCTTGCTCTTAAAATCTCTTCCTCTCCTCTCAGGATCCATATGTATATATTTAATTATACATTTTGTATATGGTAGATATTCATCTACCATATACATTTATCTTTAAATACAATATTTATCTTTCTGAGCTTGGATGGACATGGCTCATTCAAATAATGCATTTTGTGTGTGTGTGTGTGTGTGTGTGTGTGTGTGTGTGTGTGCACGCACATGTGTGTTTGATGAGTGTATGTGTGTGGACATGCACATGAGTGTCAGAGGACAACTTTGGAGCCTGTTCTCTCCCTCTATCTTTATGTGGGTTCCAGGGATCACCTTTAGGTTGCTGGCCTTTTGAGTTGGTGGTTTGAATCCAAATGTTCCCCATAGGCTCAGGCACTTGAACACTTGTTCTGCAGTTGGTGGCACTGTTTGGGGAGGATGCGGAACCTTTAGGAGGCGGAGCCTTGCTGGAGGAAGTACATCATTGGGGGCTGGGCTTGGCGGGTTTGGAGACTTGCCTCACTTCTAGTTCGCTTCCTCTGCCTTGTGTTTGAGGTTAAAGATGTGACCTTGTAACTTCCTGCTCTGACTACCTGCAGCTATGCCTCCCTCACCATTGGACTTCCTTTCTAGAACCATAATCCTAAATAAGCCTTTTCTTCCTAAGCAGCTTTTGGTCATGATGTTTTAATCACACTGATGAAAAGTAATCAGCACAGACACAAATAATACATTAAAAAATATTTATTTTATTTTGTGTGTACAAATGTTTTCTCTGCATGTATGTAGGCACACCATATGCCTGGTGCCTGCAGAAGGCAGAACAGGGCGTTGAGTCCCCTGAAGATAGAGTTATAGAAGGCTTTGAGGCACTGTGTGGGTGCTGGGAACTGAACTTGGGTCCTCTGCAAGACTAGCAAGTGCTCTCAACTGCTGAGCCATCTCTCTATCCCCAAAAATAATAAATTAAAAGTTAATAACTATGTAATAAAAAGTTAATATATATGTTGAACAACACCCCAAAGTCACATGCATGCATATTCACATGTGTGCCCTCATAAACACACACAATTAAATAAATAAAAGGAAAAAGAAATCTGATGATAAAAATAGAAACAGTAAATTTTAGCATAGACAGAAGAAAATAATAAGAAAAATGGATCAAAAGTTCCCATGGTTAAGATGCCTGGCTTGCGGACAGTTCTCTCTAGTCCATGTACCAATCAGTGCCAATCCCCTCCTGTGATCCCAGTGGTATGTTTAATGTCTCGGTTGCAGCAGCAAGCCCTTCTCAGCCTCAAGCAGGGTGTTAGTTGTGAGTTCATCTAGGCTGGAGGTCTCTAGTCTGTGTACCTGAGAATCTGCCAGGTGTCCAAGACACAATGCGTATATATTAGGGATATCCCCCAGATATATGGAACAACCACATTGCTCAGATCTGCTTTGGGCAAGTGGGGTGTTTGTCACTGTTAACCTTGGCAGTCTCAGAACTGGCTATTTCTACAAACCTCATTGACCACAGTGCCTTCCACTCTCCATCATAGCCCATGGGCCCCTGCTCAAACTTCTCAAACTTCATTGACGCCCTGCAGCCTTTTTTTTTTTTTCCCTCCTGTGGTCTCATCCATCTATCCAATGCAAGGCACAGTGCTCAGGGGGACCCTGAATTGTGATCATTCCTGCTTTCTGCTTCCCAGAGCAGTTTAGTTCCTAAGGACTGGACCCTGGGCAAGATGGCTCTTGGTGGCTGCACTCTAGGACTGCTGAGTTGAATTCCTCTACAGTTTGCTTGGCATACAGATGGAGTCTCTCTAAAACCAAGTTCCTGAAGTGTGTTTAAACCTTGTAGGAACTGCGGGCTTGCCCGGCTGTTAGGACTGCTGGCCCATAGTCTTTTGTCAGCGCTGACGTCATCAGTTCACCTTATGTGGTCAGCCTGTGCCGTGACTTGGTTTCTGCTTTTCTCTGGGTTGTTGTCCTTCAAACCCTCCTGCTTGTCCAGCCTCCCCCACTTCTCCGTTGGTTGCCAAAGTTCTTCCTCACATCGTCTGCTTTCAATACGAATTTTCCTCTGCTGTTGACTCTCTTCTCACCCACAGAGTCAAGTAATAGATGTTGAATGTCTAAAGAACCCGGGGTTTCTGAAGTTAGGAGATGCTAAGTGGAAGAACTCTTAGATATACCTGATCATCCCTCCCTCCCATTACCTAGTTAATACAAGATAAATTTTATCCATGGTTTGT